CACCCAAAATCTTCCATCTTATCCCATACCTATTACTATGCTATAAAACCCTCAAACTTAAAGCCCATCAGTGTGTGCAAGCACACACTTCTATTTAACTACACACTACTAACTTCATCACTCATATCGAGAAACCGTCTCCAAGGCCTCAGGTGAAAAGCAGTGTTCTGCGGGGGGTCAATGCCAGACAGCATATAAAGCTCAAAACGCCCAGGTTTCTGGGATCTAACAATGGCCCTGTTCCCTGTCCTGCAGGGCATGGTGGAGGAAGGCTTCCGTACGGCGGAGGGCTGCTACCGGACGGTTTGGGAACGGCTGGGCATGGCTTTCCAGACACCCGAGGCCTACCGGGAGAAGAAGGTGTATCGCTCGCTGGCCTACATGCGGCCCCTCAGCATCTGGAGCATGCAGCTGGCCCTGGAGCGCCGGGCTGGCCAGGCACCGGCACCCACGCAGCTCCCACAGAGCCCCACACACCCTTGAGCCTCGTGCGACTGGGCAGGGCACCGGCTGCACACGGGCTGGGGGAGCTGCAGATGGCAGGCAGGGACCCTCCCCTCCTGCTCTGGGCTAGTACTCACATTGCTGTTTTCCTTCCCTACCTCCACTACATGCCCTTGACCTCAGGGGGCTTGCAGCCGCTGATGCTGAGCACAAGGGAGGGACCAGAGGTGCGGGGGATATCTCATCAGAGCGCGGTGGGCTAAGGAGTTGCTGCTGGAGCCTGTGCCTCTCCTTCCCCATTGCTCAGGGCTCTGATAGCCTGCGGTCTCCCCAGCTATCCCAAACTGCAGCTGGTACCTTGTCCAGGGGCACAGGAGACCTCTCTCCTGCAGTCCTTGGGCTGGGTAAGGTGGGGAGTTGTCCTGCAGGGAACAAAAGGGTGTGGGTGAATGTGTGTGTGAGGATATTGGCGTGGTGCACTCAGGCACATGGATGCTGTAGCTGTCCTGGGGTGACACTGCACATAGTGACAGGCTCTGGCCCAGGAGGGCCTGTGGCAGATACAATCCCCAGGGGAGACCCGGCTCCCTGGACAGTGACAATCTGAGCCCAAGAAGCAGGTCCTGGTCTGGTACCATGGCCCCCTCCCTGCTGGCACCGGGGGCAAGCAGTGGAGCACATTTAAGGGGATAAATCCGTTCAGTTCTTAATAAATCTGTTCAGCTGTCTACTCTTATTCTTCTTTGGTGTCTTCTTTCCCCCAAGCCAAGCCAAAGGAGGAAATCCTTTCTCCTCCATGTTTCTTCTCGGATTGGGCTGGAGGGCTAGGGGGGCGGGGAGGGGACAAGTCCCAGTGGTGGCTGGCTCTTGTGGAGTATTGCTAAAGGGAGCAGCATCTCCTTACCCACGCCTTCGTATGTAATAGCAGCAGGCAAGGGTTTGCTTCTTGCTTGGCTCTTGGCTCTGCCCTGCCTCTCAGGCAGCAGAGGAGAGAGCGTTTCTCCTCAGAAGGCCTCTGTGGGGAGCAGCTGAGCCACAGGACTGCAAGCCCTCGACTCAATCGAATCTTCTTCTGCCCAGGGCTGGCCACTTTGCTTCCTTTTCCTTCTTTCTCTGCCAGTGTTGCATTTGAAGGCTGTACCATCCTGCTGTGGGAGGGAAAGTAAGGAGGGAGCTCCACTGCCTTTCCTGTTGTACTCACACACATACAGCTCTCCTGGACGGAAAGGCAGTATATCCCTTGGACAGAGAGAGGGACACTCCAGTCCCCTGCACTGGGGGCAGAATAACTTGTACAATTCCCTATTTGCAAATCTACCAGTGGTGAATGGAGAAAGGGGTGTCATGCTGCTTTTGGTTTTTGGTGTTGAATAATGCTGAAATGAGTCTGACTCTTCAGTCCCCAAACTTAAACATCCTGAATAGTGATGTGAACATGTGATAGAACTGGTAAAGAGCCAGCTAAAGGAACCAGCAAGTGATCCTATGGATAATGTATCTAAAGCTGGTGAGCTGACACAGCTGACATCTGGCTGACAGTCAATCGCATTATACTGTAAAAGCCTGCTCCCATTTCTAAGGACAGGGTCTTCTAACACCCTCCTTGCCTGAGTGTGTGTGGAGGTTCCTCCCTTGCACAGGCTTGAGGCTGAGCCAGAGAGAGTTGCCCACGATTACTAGTATGGGTAAGTTACTTCAGGCTGTACTTATGTAATTGGTTTTGCTAGCCTTAGTATCTTGAATAGTGCTTCAAAACAGTGCATCATACTGCAGAAATCGTTACAGCTTCTAATCTCTAGTAAATCTGTCACAATCTGCCAACACAGCCAGGGGTCATGATGCTTTGTTTAATCTCAGGGGTGCAAAAGACACATCAGTTTACTCACAGCAATGCATTTTTATTGGACGCTAACAACTCAGTTGCGCTAGACAGGAGAGATATAGAAAACAACGTATAGAGAAAAAAAGAGGAGGATGAGGGAATAGCTACCAACACATGAGACGGACATCCTTGTGGTCCAGCCAATGGACGAGTCTTCATCCGTGGGGGGATCCCAAAAGCTTCCCTAGAGGGTCACTTTTTTATAGTCCTTTTCCAAAGAGAATGGCTTCTGGCCAAGAGGTGGGAAGAGTTATGGACCATTGTGAGGTGCTCCAAGAGGCAGGTGCAGAGGTGCAAGGCATGCAGTTTTCATTTGGTACCATGACAGCACAGTCCAGTGAGCATGACACACCTGCACACAATCACTTGGCAAGCATTCACCTTGACCAGGCCAGAAAACTCCTGTCCAAAGCCAACCCGGGTGGGGGGTCCTCGGAGTCTTCTTGCGATGGTCATGAGGCAAAACTGAGGGAAACTTCAGATCATTTTTTACAAAATCTTGTTAAGATTTTTTTGTCTAATTATCATAATAAATGTTTTGGTTTTATAGAAATATATCTGATTCTCCATCTTCAATCCCGTAGTATTGCATTGTACAAAGTTTCTGTTACACCTGTATAATCCTTTAGAATTAATCCATTGACAAAATCGAGGGCAAAACTCTTTGCTGGGCAGGATTCTAGAATGCAAGAGTTCTTTCTGAACCTTGTGATTCAGTGGGAGGGCTTTTTTCATGACCATTGTCTGAGGTTCCCATTCTGCCTGTGACACTCTCCCAGACAAACATCCCCACAATCCCATGTCCCACGTCTCCTCCATGTCCCGAGGCAGGAGCAGAGGCGTGGGCCAGTTCTGTGCCCACAGCCAGGGTTCCTCTGTGTCCCATGAGGGATTAGGGGTGCCAGTGGGGACTCTCCCCTCCTACCCCTCCCAGCATGGGCAGGGGATTGCTGGCACTGCTGTACCTGAAAACTGCCAATGCATGGTGAAGCTGAAGCAGCTTTGGGCTGCTGGGCTCCTTGCAGGAGATCCAGGCTGCTTGTGAGGGTGACACCAGGATCTGCTTGTTGTTGGCTGCCAGCACGGTGTGGCAGGAGCCCAAGAAGGTCCCAGCTGTGTTCAGGGCCAAAAGGGTCATGTAAGAGCCCAGCACATTTCTCCACAGGCCCTGCAGGTAGCCCTGGGGCTTATGTGGGTGGCTCAGTTGGTGCTGAGGCACAGTCCCACTTTCATCCTCCCTAAGCAGTGGGATGTTTGTTCCTTGGCACAGCCCCTGCCCCAGGCAGCTGGGACCAGCACATGGTTATCAGCTGGGAAAGCAGCTCTCGGTCTCTGGGGAGGCAGCAGAGCTGGAGGTACTGGGTGACCCCTAAAGCAGGGGTAGGTGACACACACCTACAGTAACTCCCGGGAAGCACAGCTAGAGCCGGCAACTTCCTTGTAATGTCCTTGTCATGGACATTACACCATGGCATGGCACAGCATGGTATAGGATGGTGAGGTCGTTGTGACACACACACACCTGACTCCAAGTTAGATGAACAGGAAAAGATAATTTTATTTACATGACATGACTATTTATGGAAATCTAACAATAATGGTGGATTGGACAATGATGAAGAGACCTCTGACTCCAACTGGCTCATCACAATGTCAGTCAATTCTCCCTACCTCCAAAGAGGAATGCATATAATCTACTGTTTATCAGAAAGAGTATGAGAAAATATAAAAAGATTGTATCAACGCTCAGAAGGCTAGAAACAGGTGCAACAGCATGGTACACCCAGAAGATGCAGCCCTCAGGCACAAACTCTGCGTGCTGGGGTGGCACAGGACAGCACAGCATAGCACAGAGAAAACACACACCACAAGGATGGCACAGCCAGGGATGGTGCAGCCCCTCACTCCCCACCCTGCGCCCAGGACAGCACAGTTGGCTCAGCATGGCCAGACTCCGCCCCTCACCTCCCTGGATGCAGCACCACGGGGCACGAGCAGGGCCAGGGCGAGCAGCAGCAGCATCCCAGGGTGCCATGGTGGTGATGGCTGTGTGTGGTGCCTGGGCTCTGTTCCTTTTCTATCAGAGGGGTCTGAGCCTCCTGCCAAGGGACCCCCATGAGGGAGAAGAACCTTGATCCTTCTGGACAGTGATGGGGTCTGAGGGGGACACTGATGGAGGTTGCAGGGAGCACAGCCAGAGCAGCAGGTCAGAAGAGCAGTAAAAATACAACACGGAGGGTAGGGGATGTATAATATCTGGGGATGTTATAATTATTCTGTTAAAATAATATATTTAACCATATAGAAGAGTTAGTTTGATTACAAGTTGAAAATTGTGATGTATAATGTATAAAAGTGCCAGATGTTTAAAATATACAGCTGTAGAAAACCCTGCAAGCAGTTACGGGAATTCCTCTATTTCCAGGAAACTATCATGCACGCCAGTTACACAGCCGGGAAATGTCCCACCCTTCCCATCTAGAGTCATTCTCAGGGATTTCAAATACATTTGGAAACAACCAGACTGTACAATACCCTGGCCAGAGCTGCCACCCACAGCCTGGGTACAACCCCCCCCACCTAGCAGCAATAAAAAGGAGAGGAAGCAGGAGCATCAGCAGACACCTGCAAGGACCACAACCCCAGGTCCATCAGCTGTCTGTCTGCTGCAGAGATGGTGCAAGCAACTCCCTTCCTCGTCGTGCTCTTCCTGGCACTGGGGGCTCCCGGCCTGGCTGTAAAACAGGTACAGTCAGGGTGGGATGCACAGGGTGGGGTGGGCAGGGGGCTGTGGCTGCTGGCACCAGTGCTGAGTTCTCTCCTCTCCAGTGCATCCTGACAGGGCAATGGAAGAATGACCTGGGCTCCAACATGACCATCAAGATCCTGAATGTAAATGGTGACTTCTCTGGCATCTACCACACGGCTGTGGCTGCCACAACAAAAAAGATCTTACCATCACCACTGCAGGGGTCCCAGCATCTCCCAAATCAGCAGAACCAGTCCACCTTTGGCTTCACCGTTCATTGGAGCTTTACAAGTACTTAGTCTTTTCTTAGCATCCATGTTGTGTCCCCGGAGCTCCCTTCTGTCCCTCCCTGCAGTGTCCGTGCTGATTCCCTGCCTTCCCCTGCACCATCCCCACTGCTCTCTATCCCCCCTCCCTCAGGCTCCCCCATCCTTGTCCCTGGAGCTCCTTGGTTGCTGTCAGCTCCCAATCCCAGAGTGCAGGAGAGGCAGCAGGATCTGAATCCTGCACCATCTGCCCATCTCTGTGTGACACCCCCAGCCCTCGGAGCCCTCCTGCCTGCTTTCCCCATCCCTGCTGTCCCCCGGAGGCTCTGCTGTCCCCTGTGCTGGGGCAGCCACTGACCTGCCACTTCAGTCACCTCCTGTCCTGTCTCTGCAGACACCACCACTGTTTTCACGGGCCAGTGCTTTGTGGATGATCATGGAAAGGAGATTTTGAAGACCATGTGGCTGCTGAGATCATATGTGGACAAAATCGAAGATGACTGGAAAGCCACCTTGTGAGTTCTCTAACCTTGTCCTGCACAGGTCTCCTGTGCACCCCAGAGGGGTTGGGGCTGTCACAAATGAGTGTTTTATGTCACTTAGGAGTCACCCTCACACATGCTGGCAAAAGCAGATTTACTATCTGCTTGTGAAAGCAAAACTTAGCAAAGTTCCATGGCAAGGTTCATTTGGTGTTAAAACACAGGAAAGAAGAATTGGGTTAGAATCAATTTAGAATTATTTACCTGGAGGCTGGAGATGGAAAAGGAGAAGTGAGACCCTTCAAATGAATCACAAAGTCCAGGGAGGTACTTACTGCTTTCTAAACCACGGATGGATCCTTGGTGGCGCTGATTGCACTCTTAGTCTCAGACCTGCTCAATGGTTTGTGTCTAAAATTTGGCAACGCTTAACCATTGGCTAACTGAACATTTCTCAACTTCCTTGGGATGGTTTATCACAATTAGAGCAGAGACTTGATTATAGATCCAAGCTGGCAGCAGTCATACTGCCCTTGCTCTGGGCTCTTCACATCCCTTCAGCCACGCACTCGGAGGCAGATGGTGGCACAGACCGTGCAGTGGTCCAGGAGAGCTCGAGGGGCCTCACTTAGGAGCGCTGTTGTAAACTCATGGGATGATTGACCTTAGCCATCAGTCAGTCTTCATTCTGCATGTACGGTGAGATGGTAATTACAGGAATTTTTCACTGTTCCCGTAATGATAATGTTATTCCACTTGGGCTATGATTCGGGCAAGTAATATCCCAAGGCTTTTGGACTATTGGTTTCCTTGATAAGGCAATGCAAGGACTTGGTGTGCAAAGTGTCTGTGACAAGCTCCAGGGCAGCTTCACCACCTGAGAGACATTTCCAAAGCCAAAGGCCTAAGAAGGCGTCTTGAGTGGTCTGAGGAAGGGGATGAAGGCTGGTGCTCCCAGCCTGTTGTGCTCAGCACTTGGCAGAGCTGCTGCCAGTGTGCAAGTGAGGGAGGGCAGGGTGCTTGTGCACAGCTTGCCTGGGCATGCTGACAAGGTGCAAATGCTTTGGAAGGACACAGGACTGGGCGAGCATTGGGCCACTCTCTTGTCCCGCCCTTACCTCTCCTCTGTCTGTGTCCCCACAGGGTTGGTTACAACGTATTTGAGCGCCTGGAATCGCGTGTGGAGTGAGGATGTTAGCATTGGAGTTCCCAGAGAAGAGGCAGTGCCAGGCTTGTAGCCCTTACTCCTGCCTCAGCCCCTGCCTCTCCCAATAAAGCTTTGCTGCAAACACTCGTTGTCTCCTCTCTTTCACCCATCAGTGCCCCTCCTCCCCTTCCCTACCGAGGCACTCTGCTGCCTCTCTTGTCGCTGCTCCTGAAGGCCGGTGTGTCACCCCTGCTGTGACCTGCCATGGCTTGGGCTCCTCTTTGTCAGCCCACCCAGCACATGGTACTCCTTAGGATCTCACTTGGTGCAGGTCAGCAGGACCCTGCTCAGCCTGGAGAGATGGCTGGTGGCCCTTCTCCCACTGGGAGTCTGCAAACAGCTCCATGTCTGCTCTGCAAGGGGCACAGACTGAGATGGGAAGACCAAGGGCTCCCCCGGGGCAGGCAGAGCCAGCCCTGTGGATGCTGTGCATCCCCAGCATGGCAGGAAGGCACCCCCAGTGCTGGGCACAGAGATGCTGAGGCAGCAACACTGCAGGGCTGCAAGTCCTGGGCACAGCAGAGCGGCTGGAGGGGGATGCTGCCTCCATGGCACACATCTCTACAGCAGCAGCTCTCTCAAACCCTTCCATCTCTTCCTG